TTAATTTTTTGGTTTTTCGAGACAGGGTTTCTCTATGTAGTTTTGCGCCTTTCCTGGAGCTCACTTGGTAGCCCAGGCTGGCCTCGAACTCACAGAGATAACCTGGCTCTGTCTCCCGAGTGCTGGGATTAAAGGCAAAAATCTCCATATTTTGATTTCTCCTGGTTCCCTGCCTAGTTCTCGTAATGCTAATAACTCTTTTTTTTTTTATATAATTTATTTTATGTGCATTGGGTGTGAAGGTGCCAGATGCCCTGGAACTGGAGTTACAGACAGTTGTGAGCTGCCATGTGGGTGCTGAGAATTGAACCCTGGTCCTCTGGAAGAGCAGCCAGTGCTCTTAACCATTGAGCCACCTCTCCAGCCCAATAATGCTAATAACTCTTGCCTTTACGTCTCCTTCACATCTCTCTCCAGGCACTAGTCAGGGCCTTCCTTTCCTCCCTGTTCCTGGCTGGTGTATAAATGAAACCACCGATGTGCTGTTGGGGCCTCTTAGACAGGCCCCCTGCAGGGTGTCTTGGCTGCTGCATCTAACATCCCCATTCATCTGTGAGAAGCTGGTTTGGTTGCTGCCCCAAGTCCATAATGGCAGTTAGGGTTACCTTTTGGGGAAGGGAGGACGAAGAAAACAGGGGGTAAGATTTGGCTAGGCAGGTTAAGGTAAAAAGACTCCAAAAGAAAGTAACCAGTTCATCTCTTGGCTAAAAGCCAGAAATGTCCCTGGGACTTTTTTTTTTTTTTTTTTTTTTTTTTTCGAAACAGGGTTTCTCTGTGTAGTTTTGGTGCCTGTCCTGGATCTTGCTCTGCAGACCAGGCTGGCCTCGAACTCACAGAGATCCACCTGGTATCTGCCTCCCAAGTACTGGTATTAAAGGCGTGTGCCACCACCACCTGGCCGTCCCTGGGACCTTTAGCGGCCTCATCCATTCTAGACATGGCAAAAGCATTACAGGGGGCGGGGAGTGGATCTGATCTCTCATCTGGCTTCTAAATGATTCTAGGGTATCTTTAAAAGGGGTAACATTGTAGCAGCAGTGAAGGCCTGCTGAGAGATGACTCCTTTTGGTCAATAGATGACAATCTCTGCCTGGGTGGAGACCTAACATTTCAACTGAGAAGGTCATGTGCCTGGTCAGGGGACCCTGACCACCCCTAGGAAGTGGGCTCATCTTAAGCCAATATTTAAGAAAACAAGTTTTTTTTTTAATTAAAAATGCATTTGCATGGTGTGTGTGTGTGTGTGTGTGTGTGTGTGTGTGTGTGTACGTGTTCATGTGTGGGTGCACATCTGTGTGGGGGTATACAGTGTTTCCCCACTCCATGTTCTCCCCTTGCTCCCCATCCTCTCAGCCCCCTCCATCTATGGTTTACCTCTTCATGATTTTATTCTCCCTTGGTCAGCTGTACAGTTGTACAGTTTACAACTTGTGTTTATATACCTTAAGTTACTTTTATAGACCTCTTCAACTTATATAAACCTTAACCCTTTTTCTTTTCATTTTTTTCCGAGACAGGGTTTCTCTGTGTAGTTTTGGTGCCTGTCCTGGATCTCACTTTGTAGACCAGGCTGGCCTTGAACTCACAGAGATCTGCCTGGCTCTGCCTCCCGAGTGCTGGGACTAAAGGTGTGCGCCACCACCGCCCGGCAACCCTTTTTCTAACATCTGATTATTACCATTAGACACACATGGTTGGTTACTGGGAGCAGCTGCTGCAGAGTGAGTTCTTGTAAATAAAGGAGCCATAAAAAGTTACACCTGAAGCCTGTTATCCTTATGAAGCCTGTTAGCAAGGCGAACTTACCTGTGAGTTTGTCTTTTTCACCAGGAGACCTACTATTTCTAGAAAAGCGAGGTCTGTTCTCATACATGAAACACACTGACCAAGCAGCTGTACCCTTGGGGGAGATGCTGGGTGCCTGCTGCTTCCAAATGATAGAGCTAGTTAGCCATCAACATCATCAGAAATCTGAGAAGGATAAATTATAGCAGGAAGTGTAACCCAAATGTATTGATTAAAATGACAGAGGCTTTCCAGCTGACTGGATTGTCCCACTAGGCTCCTGTGCTCTTGATGGCTGTGGGGCAGAGGTCATAGGTCTTTGGCTGTCACATAGGACAGCATTTTACCTTCAGCTGCTGCACAGGACACCATAGGCTTTCAGCTGTCAGAACCAGAAGGTCCGGGATTTTCCTGTGCGTGAAGAACTTGGGACAATTGGCCTGCCTTGACATAGGCAGAGGAGGCCAGGCAACCCACCAGTGTCCACAGTTTGTGGAGGCCCTGGAAGCGAGTGAGGCATGGGGCAGTTTTCCCCAGTGGTTAGTGTCACCACAATCCAGGGCAGTGCCCCATCTGTCTTCTCTGGAGACCTTAGGGCCACCTCCAGGTGCTGTCATTTCTGTCTGTCACAGGAAGCTTCCTCCACTAAACATTTAAGATGCCATCTTCAGTAGAACTGATGAATTTGAGGACCATAATCTATTAAAGATACCTGATTTTAAGCAAACGTCACTTATTTTTAGTTATTTGCTTTAGGCTTAACCTTGAAAAAAATATAGGAAGCCAAATAAAGCTTATACCTATAAATAAATTACATTAGTACTTAGCATGAGAACACATTAAAGAATCTGATTATTTACAAGGTAACTATTAACTTGCATGTATTAATTGTCTTTAATGGTTTACAACAAGTTAGTATTTTACAAGATTAGAATTTGTATTTTTATCCTTGTTAGTTTTAGCCCTAAAAATAACACTTTTTGAATGGAAACTCTTTTAGTACCGAAATAAAACTTTAAATCATAAATATAGACCACAGGGAGGCTGGAAAATTTAGTTTCCTGGTCCTTTCACAGTGCACCATTACAGAATATCACAGTTTTTGTATGACTCAGTTTATCAAAATAGCTAAAGTTTAACCAAGTTGGAAAAGTCAAGGAGGCTGGAAATCCGTTCTTAAGTCAGTCTCTGTGAGAGCGGCGTTCTACCGGCCGTTTGCCGGACTGCTTAAGTCATTGTCTTGCTGCATCGGAAGACAGGAATATCTCAGTTTCTGGTGTTCCGTGCTTGGTGCTCATAGCTGTGGCCCTAACTCTTTAGCCTTCTGTTTATTTATGTTTTTAAGATTACATATTAAAAAAGACTTCATACAATAAAATATTTTATAAACTTAAAATGCCCCATGAATATTTGACAAGCTGTTTTATTTTTTAAGTAGTTTTTTTTTCGATTTAAATTCTTTGTAAAACTCCAAAATTTCCTTTTAAAAGTTTAAAATCTCTCAACTGTAGGATCCGGCAATATCAAAACATAAATTAAGTACCTATTTTATTTCAAGAGGGAAGAAAGAGGGCACAGCCACAACCCAGACAAGGCAAGACCGAACTCTAACAGTGTAAGCAACTCCATGCTCAGCGTCTGGGGTTCACTCACCATGCTCTGGGCTCCCCCAGAGTGCTCAGGTCACCTCTCCAGCTCCACCCTCGGTGGCACATACAGCCCTGCTCCCTTTCATTGATGACACCAGCATCTCCAAAACATCCGCGGTCCCCCATTGCAACGGGGCCGACTTCCCATCACTCGCCCTTCTAGACACTCCTAGGAACTCCGGCCCTGCCACACAGTGCCAAGCCTCTGCTCCTCCCCACGTGTTCGCCTCCATTCTGATGGGGTCACCAGCTAGGAGGGTAACAAGCCACATGTTGCCTAGATCCCACAGTTCCTTTAAGATCACCTACGTATTTTTAACTATCAACTCCCTGTGTTATGAGTTTTAAGCTCATATTTTCTTGTTGCAGATATTACAAATTTTTAACCATACCCAATAACCTTACAAGTTTTGAGGTACAGAAAGTTCTCATAACAGTCTTACAAATCTTGCCAGGCGGTAGTAGCGCATGCCTTTAATCTCAGCACTCAGGAAGCAGAGCCAGGCGGATCTCTGTGAGTTCGAGGCCAGCCTGGGCTACCAAGTGAGTTCCAGGAAAGTCGCAAAGCTACACAGAGAAACCCTGTCTCGAAAAACAAACAAACAAACAAACAAACAAACAAACAAGCAAAAAACAGTCTTACAAATCTTGAGATAAGTTTTATATCTTAGCAAAAGTTTTAGGCAGTTAAATGAAACCAATATTCTATTTTTTTTTTTTTTTAGCTGTTTTGCTTTGTTCTCTTTTCTCTGTCACAAAATCAAGTGATTCTTCTGACATAGGACAGAGAGGAAACTTTAAATAAGCGTGCTTGGGTCTAGAGAAGGGAGAGCCATAACTCAACTCCAGAGCCAGCTTTCCAATAAACAGCATAAAGCAACTTTAATATTCTCCACACCCAAGAGATATTTGAATCCCTGCTAACCTGAATCCAGTGACCAGAAAAGCCCAGAGATAAGAAATTTTGAGCCCTGGCCATTGAAGTAGTCAAGGTAGTGGCGTCAGTGGCGGCCAGTGGCTGGTTTGGCAAAGATGGCAAAACCAATACCAATAAACACAGAAAGCCCAGGCACCCAAAGGAGGCCAGTCAGGAACAAAACATGCAGTGGCTGCCATCATTCATACATTTAACTGGGCCTGACCAATTTCAAATTCGGCTCCTAGTATCCCAACAACCAGAACCAGGCTGGTGGCGTGATGTCTCACTTTTTGCTCTGGATGGGAGAGTACTGGGTCTTGTCAGACCCCTTCTCATCCCAGATCTAGATCTCAACAGAACAAGAAAATTACTATGACTACCAGGGGAGGCCTCCATAGATGCTTGTTGTTTTTCTTGGCACGGCAGTTCTCTCTGATAGTCTGAGAAACCAAAAGCACGGCTTGGAGCCTTGGAATGTCTCAAGGTGCACACCTCCTGAGGTGGCCCTTTAGCCCTGGAGTCCTGGAGTGAAGGTCCAGTTTTAGAATTTGGGTGCATGGTCTGATCTTGCTGGGGGCCTCCAGAAAATGTTAATCCCACTGGGCAAGAGTAAGACCACTACCACAATTTTGAGCCAAATTTGAAGCAAACTTTATTAAATACCGGCCGGGATGATGGCCAAGTTCATATCTGGGATTCCCAGAGTATGGGATTCAGGGGCTTATAAAGGCAAACCCCACAAGACTACATATTTCATGCTTTTATCCAACCAGGGGCAAGTCTACATCCTGACACACCTCCTGCCTATTGTGATAACATGCATGTACTATGCAATTGGTAGAACCAAGCTTGTTACAGAAGTGAAAACACACGGCTTGTCATCTTATGTGAACAGCTCCCAGCATTCCAAGAAGTTGTCTGTCCTTGGGCAAACGGGGCTAACAGGTCAGAGGCATTTTTGTTTTATAGCTCTCTTAAGCACAGCAATTTAAACTTCAAACATAACTTTAGCCCTCACATGTCCACACTGTAAACACTACCTGCCATCAGTGACTTATGAGTACTTTCACTTATCAGATTGACTGTGGTGTTGTAATACTTGAAGTCATAGAACACTTACTTTACTTAATAATTGTCCCCAAAGGCAAGGATAGTAATGCTGGCAATTCAGATAACATGCATGCATGCAGGCAGGCAGGTAGGCACACATGCAGGCGCGCGCACACACACACACACACACACACACACACACACACACACACAAGCTGGGAATATAGCTCAGTGGTAGAGCCTTGTCTACCTTATGATCTTAGGTACAGTTCCCAGAATCTTAAACAAAATAAAAAACAAAGTCGACATACAACTTATACCCTATTTGTATTTGTGACTGGGGAGCTGGCTCAGTTGGTAAAGTGTGAGAATCTAAGTTCAGATTCCCAGAACCCACAGAAGAAGCCTAGAGAGACCACGACCCCAGTAATAGCAAGAGGAGAGTCAACGGTAGGCAGCTGTCTGGGAGCTGCTGGCCAGCTAGCCTAGCCCATTTGGTAAAGTCCCCGGCCTTCACACGTCACACATACTTACATGCGTACCCTGCACCCCCCATGGACATGTACCCACACATCAACATGCAAACACACGTGCATACAATAAAAATATATCAAGTACTTCCTTTAAGTAAAAACATGAAAATTATTCACTTATTAGGGAAACAAAGAATTGCATGCTGAAGTGGCTGAGAATGAAATCTATCTATCTATCTATCTATCTATCTATCTATCTATCTATCTATCTATCTATGAAGCTGTTGTTCACATTATCATTTTCAGTTGAGTCTTAACTTCAGTGCATTATGGTAAAAAACGTATACCTAGCCTTTAAAAATTGTTGCGAATTGCTTTAGGACCTAGTATGCAGTCAATTTAAAAACAGTAATTTAATGTGTGTTTAAGAAAAAGGGTAAATAGATTTTATCAGGTTTGTACAGGTCTCCACATATGTCCATTAAATCAATATTATTTTCTTATTGAGCTTTTTTGTGCTTAGTAACTTTTTTTGTCTCTGTGACTAGTCAACAGTGTAGGAACTGCATTAAAATATTCCATTATGTTTTGATTTGTTGATTTTTTTTTCCAGTTTAAGGGATGACAGATTTGCTTTGTGTATTTTGAGACTATTTCATTTGGTCCCTGCAAATTGAGAATTTTTATATAACTGTGCTGAAGTGAAATTCTCTTTTATTTATTTTTTAAAACTGTTTTTATGTGTATGAGTGTTTTACCTGCATGTATGTCTGTGCACCTGTATGTGTGTGGTGCCCACTGAGACCAGCAGAGGGCATCAGATCCATTGGAACAGGAGTTACATGAACTTCCACATGGGTGCTGGGAATCGAACCTGGATCCTTGGTTTTCTGGGAGAGCAGCCAATGCTCTTAACCTTTGTACCATCTTTCAAGCCCCTCACCTTTAAATTTGGTTTTAAATCAGCGTGCATGTGACAGGTTTTATAGTGGCGTTCTCACGTACACTGTGTTTTTGTTGATCCTCCTCCATACTCCTCCCCCTCCATCTCCCTTCAAAATTAAATTCTGATCATGATGTTATTTCTTTTTATGTTTAGTAATTCTCCCCCTGTCCTTTTAAAAAGTCTCAAATTCAAGGTCCTCTTGAGTCAGCCTCCAGAATGCTGGGATTAGAGGTGCATACCACCATGCCACCATTATTTAAAAGAATAACCCCATTCTTTTAAAGCTAATTGGTCTGATACAAACACAGCTATCCCATGCTTTTGGTTAGAATTCATCTTGCCCAGGGGCAGCACCACTCTGATGTGGGCTGGGTTCTCCCACATCAATCATCAACCAAGACCATGCCCACTGACATGGTGGGGGCAATTCTTCACTTGAGGACCCCTCTCCTCAGGTGTGTCGTAGTTGACGACCGAGATTGCTTATCACAAGGACTTTCCCCTAAGATGGTTCAGAAAAAAAAAAGTTATGTGTATCTACAGAGTGAGAGAGAGAATGAAATAATAAATGAGTAAAATGTTAACAAGTGAAGGAGAGCAAGGAGGATGGGGTATTTCTTGTGTTTTTTTAGACTCATTTATTATGTACACAGAAGAGGGCGCCAGATTGCATTACAGATGGTTGTGAGCCACCATGTGGAATGCTGGGAATTGAATTCAGGACCTCTGGAAGAGCAGTCGGTGCTCTTAACCTCTGAGCCATCTCTCCAGCCCACTTCTTGTGTTATTCTTGGTTCTGCAACTTTTTCTTAGTTTGGGTTCTTTTCCAAATAGAAGATGAAAAACAGAAACTGTCTTTAAAGTTTGTCAAAGGAAGGCTGAAAAGTGGGAGGAAATCATGTCATTTGTTAGGTCATCCAACCTTAGAGTCATCTTACTGCGGGCGCTTATGAACTGGCCTCTGCAGCTGGGCTCCTTCGGCAGCCGCCTGCAGAGGATGCCTATGAGAGGGGAGCCACAGCCTTCGAAGTACCCCGTTCCGGTTTAGCGTTGCAGCTGGACGTCTTCTGGAGGCTACAGCTCTATAGCCCAGAAGAAACAGGATTTAAAGACGGAAAGATAAAAACGTACGTTCAGTTTCAATGCCGCTACGCCTCTGTCGACTGAGTTCTGAGGGGTCTAACCTGCCCGCCCCTTCCTGGCGGATGTCTTTTCATGGGACGCCCTGGGAAGCCACGCTGCCTGGAGTCACTGCAGAATTCACTGCCTCGAGGCGCTGCATGGGTTACTTTTCTGTTGCTGTGATAAAATACCATGACCCGAAATGGCTTATGGGAGAAAGAGTTTATTTTGGCTTATGGTTCCAGAGGGATAGAGTCTGTCATGGCGGGAAAGGCCTGGCTTGACAGTAGGAACAGGAAGCTGGCTGATCGCAGTTTCAACCCCACACAGAAAACAGAGAAAGCAGTGGGCGTGGGGAGGTGGGGTGGGGTGGGGTGAGGCTATAAACCCCCCAAAGTCACTCCCAGTGATGTGTATTTTCTAGCAAGACTCCACCTCCTAAAGGCTCCATAACCACCTCCACTCACTGGGGACCACATGTTCAGATACATGTGCCTGTGAGGAACATTTCTTACTGAAACCTCACCAGCTGCCCATGACTACTGTGAGATGGGACCACAGGCAAACGTTCCTTCAGGCCAGTGTGCAGCGCTGCTCCAGGAATCTCTGGAAGGCAGTGGTCCTCAGCAGGTGGCGCCCGTGACTCGTTCTTGCGTTGGCTTTCCCTCCACTGCTGGCCCATGCCTGACTGTTTCCTGGGACCCCAGGAACAGCCTGTGCATCAGCTTTGGCCTCTGGTAGAATGGCGGGAAATTGGAAGAGAAAAATGTACTGGGGTTTTCTCCTTCACGGGGGACGCAGGCCAAGATCAAGGTGTCACTGGAAGAGAATCTAACGCTCAAAGGGGAGGGTGCTGACTGGTAATTTAGCGGAATCCCCACAGTCCTGAGCAGCCGAGTAGAGCAGGTTATGTTTATATTAAACACCAATGCAGAACTCACCATCCTCCTGCCTCTGCATTGTGAGTCCATCGCCCCCATCCAGTTCTCTTCATTTTTGTTTTCTCTGTCTCTCCCCTCACGTCTCTACTTTCTGCTCACTATTGGTCTGTGTTCTCTTTGCCTTGTTATTCGCTGGCCCCCTCATCTCCCTCTGCTTTATCCTCTTCCCATCTCCTCTCCACCATCGCTCTGTTTTTCTGATCCTTTTACCTGCCTTTCCCCACTGTTAGTGGACAAAGTGGGAGTCAGCCTCGCTTGTTGGACCCAAGACCTGAGTAATATCTCCCATTTGGGAGGGAGGGCCAGGATTAGACCACATCTCTCATGAAGGCTTTGCTAGGTAGTGGTGGGACTGATCTCTAATAGTCTTTTCTTCACAAATGAAAAAGAATTGATGAGAGGATTGGCAGAAAGTATGACGTGTGTGCATGTGTGTGTGCGCGCGCGCGCGCGCGCGCGCGCGCGCACGCATGTGCATGTATAATTGAGGCTGGCCTTGAACTCATTGTATAGTCAAGGATGGCCTAGAATTCTCAATCCTCCTGCCTCTGTCTCCCAAGTACTGGGATTACAGGTGTGCACCATTGCACCAAACTGTTCAACTTCCTCTGGAGTTACAGAAGCACCGAGTTGACTTTCAGAACCGGCACTGAGTAAGCGGCCCCTCAGCTCAGGCTCCTCTCTCCAATCTGCTCTTTGGCTGGCTCACGCAAATGTATTCATGGCAAGGGGTGGGCAAACAGATCTGGAGGCTTTCTGGGAGACTCATGAGGAAACCGCCATGGCCTCTTCTCAGGGTGACACAGAGCAAAAAGCCAGCTGTTTGGAGGGATCTACTTGCCAGTCTTTAAAACATTGCCAGCACATACACACAGCCACATTTCAAGACCACTTTATTACCAAAACAAACAAAGGAGATTGGCATTTAAATAAATTATACAAACATCTCAAGAGGTAAGGTTTGCAGCCCTTCCAGGGAATCCTATGTCACAGGTCAGTGTCTGTAAGAACATCCACAGCAATTGAAAATCTGGATTATTCTGTTCCCTTGCGCCCTCCCATCCTGCCTCGGTCATGTCCAGAGCGGCAGTCTGTGTGATGTTTACATTCTGCCCCAAGAGTTGCAACTGTGGAGTTTTCTTCGGCACCTATTTTTGTACCCCTGCCCCCCGTGTTTCTAATAACACCTTCCCCGTGTGTTCTGTGAGTGTATACAGCCTCAACGTGTTGCCGATCCTTGCCCTCTTCCCCCAAAACAAGCCCAAAGCCCAGGCCACCGGTGAGTCAGCAATGCCTTCCAGTTCCAGGCCTGACCTGCAGGTTAATGGGATCTAGACACTTGCTTTAAAAGGGCCTTATAATGTCCTCCGGCTCTGTGACCTTCTTCTGCTTCTTGGACTTTGGAGGAGGTGGAGTAGGGGAGGGTAAATTGTCATTGGCTGGGGTTCTCTTCCTCCTGGAATTTGGCACTGTGAGTGCTGGGCACAGTGAATCCCAGATAACATTGTCTTTCAGCCTTCCAAGTTTTGGGCTCCATTGGCAGCCAGATGGCATAATGAATTCACTGAGACGCAGCAGCTGTGGCCAAGAATGTGCTGGCCGTGTGTCAGAGCCCTGTGCCTTAACTCTGCGGAGGAGCCTCAGCAGCTCACTTCACACATGGACACAAAACAAAGGTCAGGCTCAAGGTGGGAAGTGGGATGCTCTCCCAGGTTGGGCCGGCCCAGCCTGTTGGCACAGGGGTCAGGACTGAAGGAACTTGGAGAACAATGGGGAGAGGCCAGATTTTCTGTGTACTTGTATGGCAGTTTTACAAGGGGCGTGTGGTGTGTGTGTGTGTGTGTGTGTGTGTGTGTGTGTGTGTGTGAGAGAGAGAGAGAGAGAGAGAGAGACAGACAGACAGACAGACAGAGAGACAGAGACAGACAGACAGACAGACAGAGACAGAGAACCTATTTATTTTCAAGTCAACAGTGGGATGTCTCTAGTTACTTCCCTGTCTTCCTGAGAATTTAATTCCCATTTTCATCTTTCCTGGGGGAAAGAGGTCCTGAGAGTGTTAGGAGTTCCCTGTAGAGGGAGATGCAGTCTGGAACAGTCCTTCACATCTGTACCCAGGTGGATGCTGAAGCTAGCACCTCAGAACTTCCTCCTCCACCTGTCAGGACCTCCCGCCACAGCTCCGGGCTACAGGCTGATAAGAGAGAGTTCAAATCGCTGGCTTTTTCCAAGCGGAAATGGACATGGCAGATTTCCCAAGGGGAAGCGCCGTGGGCTCTGAGGTCAGGTGGACTGTCAGGCCTAGGGCCCACCGGTTTGCCCTGAGTTTGCATTAACAACCGACTCCCTGTTCCATGTCTCTCGTACAAAGAGGGGTTCTCGAAAGGTTTTGTGCATAAGAGCTGCTGCGGTATTACCGGAGGATTCTGCTGGCCCCCGTCCCCCAGAATGGGGCAGCTTCCAGGCAGGGACGATTCAAGAGGCCCAGTCAGCTCCCCGGTGGGTTGTCTCTGGAGAGGTAGTGCTGACAGTCTCGAGGGGCCTGCCCACTGCCCACACTAGAGTCTGAAGAGCTGGACAGCAATGGGGACCCTCAGCAGTCTCAGGACAGTGAGAGAAAGGGGCACAGAGACAGAGACTCCTGGATTGTGGATAGTACCATGTCTTTGAAGCACAAGGCTGACAACTATAAGGCAATTGGAGGGACAAGCGTCAACATTCTAACCCAGTTCATCCCTGGGTCCCACGACAGCCTGAGACCCTCCGAGGCCAGACCACCCAGGCCACAGAGCAGCATGGTTGCTCTTATCTTTCCGTTCTTGGCTCACTCCTAAGGCTGGAAGTCAAGGTGTCCATCGGCTGCCGTGGGTGGGGCGTGAGCAGATGGGCAGAATAAGCTTACTGCTGGCCCAGGCTGGAGTGGGAAGGGAAGGGTGATGAGGTGGGTCCACCAGGCTCTCACCCTTGCCAATCCTTGTCTGGACAGGCTCTTCTGGCTGCAGAGGCTGAGATGGCTCTCTCCCAGGGTGACAGGGAAGGTAGGGGTGTGGGTGGGGAGTCAGAGAGAGAACAAGGAGTTGAGAGAGGATCTAGAGCCTTGGTGGACGGATACTCTTCTCTCCGTCACTCCCTGTGGTCCCGGGCTTATCGTCCATGGACATCCCAGGTGCCAGGTGCTCAGGAGGCAGTATGGGAACCAAAGGAGCCCTCACAGGGCAGTCAGGGTCTCTGTGTGAAACATGCTCCCGAACATCTCCTGCAGAGACCACAGGAAGGAAGGGTGAGGGCAAGGGAGTGTTGGAGCTGCTGGAGTTAGAGCAGCTGCAACCAGGAGGTGACTCTGCCCCACAGGCCGGAAGGAAGCATCCCGAGTGAGATTCTGTGTGCAGCTGAGCAGGGGAGAGGTAGGCTAGCATAAGACATGAACTGCTACTGGGCGATGGGAAAAAGTACTAGTAGCATCTAATTGTGAATTGTGTCCCGTCGGCCTGTGCTATGTGTTTTTTTACACTTTCCTCTCTGAGCGTCAGCTTCGTTTTTGCCCCGTTAGGTAACACCAACATCAGGACGAGAGAAGCTCTATTATTTCTGTCCCATCTGGATTTTTAATTTTTAAGAAATATGCTGGAGATTCCCAGAGGACACTGGAATCAGCCTGTTAGATCTCAGGTGTCCCTCGCCTATCATCAGCACTCCGAGTGACACACTCAGAGGACCATGGGACTCAAGCCCGGAAAGAATGGGAAGAGAGTTGCTACTTTTAACAGGTTCAAGTCCAGATGTCTCTAAATGTAGTCCCCCTCTTTCTTTTAATTCAGGCCCCAAGCAGGCAGTATCAGCTTGTATTGCATAGCTTTTAGTTTTTTGTTTGTTTGTTTGTTTTGATTTATTTATTTATTATGTATGCAGTGTTCTGCCTGCATGTATGCCTGCAGTCCAGAAGAGGGCGCCAGATCTCATTACAGATGGCTGTGAGCCACCATGTGGGTGCTGGGAATTGAACTCAGGACCTCTGGAAGAGCAGCCAATGCTCTTAACCTCTGAGCCATCTCTCCAGCCCATGCTTTTAGTTTTAAATGCTTATCTAGTTGCAGTAACAATGCATTTATGCCCCTAAACTTCACCGAATTCTCCCAGAATGTAGTTTCCAAAGGACAGGGGCCTGTGTTCACTGCTCTATGTCCAGCCGCAACAGCGTCAGGCAAGCAGTAGGTGTTCCATGAACACCTCATGAATTGATGGAGGACGAGTGGCCTCGTCCGCCAGGCCTGGTGGGGACAGCTGAACTAAACGTCTCTTATTTTACAGACAGTGACAACAGGCCCAGCGGTGTCGCCAGGCTTGGCCACAGTCACAGGCTTGGCACACTGGAGAGTTAAGAATAGACAGCAATTCTCTGGGACTTGGTCCAGAGGCTCTCTCATTCCCCGGGATGCCTGTGTGTGTGTGTGTGTGTGTGTGTGTGTGTGTGTGTGTGTGTGTTTATGTATGCATGTGTATGTGAGTGTGTATGTGGGTGTGTGCGTGTGTGTGTGTGTGTGTGCGCGTGTGTATGTGCATGTGTGTGTGTGTGCACGTATGCGTGCGTGCGTGCGTGCGTGCGTGCGTGCGTGCGTGCGTGCTGATGCTGAGAGGAATCGAGATCTATTATTAAAAGGAAGGGGAAACCTCGCCACCCTCAGGTTGCTGCTCTGAACTGGAGAGGACAGGCAGCAAACATCTTCTGCAGAAGCAGGTCCTCCTCCCTCTCCCCCCTCCCCCTTGCCCCTCTACTCACCCGCTCTAAGTCCCAATAGCTGGGACCGTCCTCCTCTTCGGAATCACACAAGGAGAGCTCAGTGTCTCCCGGAGCCTGAGGGAAGGAGCGGGTGCAGGGTGAGTTCGGGTATCGGAGGGAGGTGCACAGTGGTAGGAAGGATGTTTGAGAGGACCCCACGCTTGCTTCCCTCATCCCTTTCTCTGGTCCTCCCCCGCCTGCCTCATGATACAGCACAGCCATAGGCAGATGACCATTGGACCTCCCTTGTGGGCATTATAGGCAGAGAGGCACAGGCTGCCTGACCTTGGAATTCCTTTCCTTTCCCTGGAATTCTGCGAAGGCAGGATAATCTGACTCCCTTTTCTGGCTTTCTTACTGTACTGTTTTAAGGCGTATATATACATTGTGTGTGTAATTTATAAGAGGTAATAGAGAATATATGCAATATGAATTATTTATAAATATTAAAACAAGGGTGGGAGAGATGACTCACTCGGTGGGTAAAGGCACTCATCACCAAGCCAAAGAACCCAAGTTCGATTCCCAGGACCCACATAACTGGATATTATTGGTGTAATGACAAATAAGAAGGATTCTCCAAGAGTCCCTGTGGACAAAGCTCATGAATCAGAACACTTCCCTAGTCTCCTAGGCCCTGCGAGTGAGAGGAGGCTGGGTCTGGCTCTTCAGCTTCTGAAGTTTTAGACAGTTATTTGTATCTCATATCACTCCCTGAGCTAGCAAATTAAATGCCAAGAGGCTGAGACAAAACTCAGCCTCTCCCTCCAAGCCTGAAATCTCCAAGCCAGGACACCCACCACTACTACAAAACAGTGAAGCTGATGGCCAGCGAGACACCAGATACACAGAGCAGTCAGTAAAATTATGTTTTTGCATAAGAATGTATAATCATTACTTCACCCTAACCAGAAACAATGAAAAGCCGCGTGTGGCAGGTGATGGTTGGTGGTGCCCATTCTACAGATAGGGAAACTGAGATTCAAGAGAGTGAGGTGGCAGGTTTGGTGATGGAACTAAAACCCTCTTCCTGTTCCTTCTAACATGCATTGGTCCTCCTGTTTGTGGGAGCCCTAGGATTCTTTAGGTGTGTGTGGAGACCTTACCCCTTGGAAGCTGCTTGCCGGGGCTTCTCTAGTATTCGCCTGGGCAAAGAGGACCGCATCATGGATGCTGGGGAACACGTGATCGCGCTGGACACACCCATCTTCAAATACTCCTCCATGGCTGATGTCATTGTACACCTGGGCTGGAAGGAGACAGGTTCCGTGAGGAAAAAGTAGCGGCGTTGTGGTTTGGAGCTGGAGGGAGGGGGGTGAGGGTGGTGGTGAAGAGGACAATTGGCCCTGCAATATCAGTTCTGGACAGCAGAGGGCAGTAGGATCTTGAAAATACTGAGCCCTCAACCTAGTGCGGAAGGAAGTCTTTGGATTTGAGAAGCTGCTTGCCAAGGAAAGGTTAATACATCACACTCTGGAGATGGTTTCCGGGGAGTGTTCATCGAGTGTAAGAGTAATGAACATGCTCATTATGGGGCCCTTGCAGAGTCCTGCTGGGCGGTATCTGCGCATCTCCTTCATATCTGCATATCTCTTGGGTCCTTGTGTGCTGTCTGTACTAGGCATATGTGAAAATTCAGTGAGTGTCCTTTGCTCTGAGGCATGTCCTTGGAGCTGCTTAAAGCATCCTCTGGAGACAAGTCCCTGGGAAGCTAGGGTATGTGGGTTTTCTGGGCTTCTACAGACCCATGGATCCTATTTGGAAAGGATCCCAAGTTCAACCAGGCAAACCTCCGATGAAGACGGACCCCAGACAGTAAAGTGACTTGGCTGACTTGAGTCAGGATACACACACAAGTTAGCGGCGAGCAGATTATAATCCTGTCTGCTCTCAACCACATCAACATACCCCACCCCCAGGATGCTCACCACCCTGTCCCCTCTGCATCTGCACCCCCTGTGGCCTCTGGTCCCCTAAAGGCCCACCCAGCCCCCACTTTTCTTACCATGGATGTTCACCAGGAAGATCTGGACTCCGATCTTCCCATAGGTGGAGCTTAGCTAGAGGGAGGAGGGGAAGGAAATGGGGAGAAAAGAAAGGAAAGGAATGTTCTGAGTGGGTCTTAAGAGGGACTCACGAAACACACTCCAGAGGGGAAGCCAAACAAACAAGCCGTCCCGAGGGCCCTGGCAGCCACAGGCATGAGTGGCAGAGCACACCCCACGTCTCTCTGGAGTGTTCGCCAAGGCCTCTCTGAAAAGTGGAGCGGAAATGGGGCTTTGCCAGTGTGGCAGACACTTAAAGTGACCGTGGCCCTTTTTCAATGCTCAGGACCAAGGCTCGGTTAGGCACGTCGTGAAAGTCCGGGAATCCAGGTCCAGGCTAGAGAAGTCAGCTGAGCTCAACACCAGGGAGGGACCTTTGCTGTCCCTGTCTGGTGGTGACATCAGCCAGTACAGTCTCTGTGCCCCTCTGACCTCCTGGGTTGCCTCCATCTGAGCCCTTCCGAGGCTTGCTGTCAAAATGACATTCACAGGGCCACTGATGAGTAATCAGATGGGCCCTTGTATCCGTGGCATTTGCAGGCTGCCTGTTTGGGACACCATTGTTTTCCTCTCTCCTGACGTGGCTGTTGAGTGTAGGAAGGGGCAGCAGGATCAGGCGCCAGACTGGCCTCATTCAGAGGCCCCAAGGTGGGTTCTGGGGACTGACGACGTAAAAAAAAGAACTCAGGATGGCCTTGGTGGATGTGTTGAGGCTCAGAGAGCTTGCTCCAACACCTCATTGCCCTAAGAGTGTATCCACCCTGCTCCCTAGGGTCTGGAACCTCCCTCCGCGAGTTCAAACGAGGGCCTGGAGGGAAGTGGGCAGGAGCAGGGGCGCACACCCCCTCCTCTCTGCCCCACGAGGCCTCACCTTGGCTAGGGCTTTGATGCCCATCAGGTCCACGAAGCTGACTCCACTCATGTCGAGGATGAGGGTGTGGAAGGTGACAAAGGGCGGGACGCTGGCTAGCGCGTCACTAGGCTCCCTGGGGGACTGAGCGGAGGTGGGCGGCTCGCACGGGGCAGCTGCCGAGGTGTCTGGGCTGAAGGTGATGTAGGATATGTTGGCATCCCCTGCAGGCGCTTGGTTATTGTTGGGGTCAGTGGAGGGAGCAGTTTCAAAGTCCTGCTGGAGTTCCTGCAGAGAGACCGTCTGCGGGAGGGAAGGGGACAGTCAGGGACTGCGATATTGAGCCCCAAGCGGAGGCAGGTAACATCTCAGCTTGGTAGTGGATACAGGCTTCCCCTAAAGCCCTTCCTGCGGGAGGTCTGCAAGCTTCTCTCTCTCCCAATCCAAGTGGGAAGAACCTTCCAGAGACGCCGGAAGCCTTGGCCACTCTGCTTGAGAGGAAGCCCCTCCAGAGACAGCAGGAAGGACTCCCTGTGCATTTGCCCATGCCTACCTGCTTCTCCCACACTCTCACCCTCACACAGCCTGGGCACCTAGGAAATTCCCACTGGAGATAGGGGGCAGTGGTTACTCTGGGAGCTGGCAGCCTTCCCCTAGAAGAGTGCCTGGAAGCGCTCTCAGAGACTTCCTGCTTGCCTCTCAATGTGCTGCAGGCTGGGAGCCAGGGTCAAGATCAGAAAGGGCATGGAGGTGGTCCTGGCCTCAGTTCACCTTGGTTTTCATGAAGAGGGACTTCCTCTGCTGGGTGGGCATCGCTGTCCTCTTCTCCTGCTTCCGGAGATATTTCTGCTTGGCGAGTAGTATTTTCTGGGGGTCCATACCTGTCTGTGGGGAGAGGGCCAACAGCAACCTTGACCCCAACCTTTGTGGGATGGCCTGCCCTTGGCTCCTAACCCCTTTCTGCCTCCCATCTTCTGGCCACTCTCTCTTCAGCCCTCTGGTCAGCAAGGGCGGAGCCTTACCTTGGCAATGACCTTCTGCCTGAAGATCTCTGAGTTGGCAAAGTAGAGCGGGGAGCAGTAAGTCACAATCTTAACCCCCTCAATTTCCTGGGCCTGTGACAGGGAGACTGAGCTCAGGTCGCCGACAGGTCTCGGGGAGGGGACAGAGTGAAGCGGGGAGGTCCTGAGCTTGGATTACCTACCCTGTTGTAGGTCTTGGGGTTCACATAGATGTCCGTGTCCATGACCTGGGCTAGTGTGGAGCCATTTCGACTAGAGGGAGACGGGGAGGGTGGAGGGTAAGGATGCTAGCGGCCTGGAGGGATGCTGGGGGCGGGGACCAGGAGAACCAGCCAGGACTCCTGTCCTCAGGCAGGCTGGTTTGTTAGTCTTTCTGCCCTGGGGACCTGGGCCCTGCTGGTCTGTGGCTGGTCTACAGCCAGGCATATGTTGATGAGGCCCCCAGAATGGGGCTCAGGAGAGAGAAGGGAGAAGCGCACACAGGTGACAAAGCCACCACTTCCTGGGTTCTCCTATACTCAGCATCGTCCTTAGCCACACCCTGACCTCCTCTGTGGCATCCTTGGCCTGTGCTAATGGCTTCTTTTGGAGGGGTCCGTCCTCTGACCTAGTGTTCTCCAGGGCAGGGTCCCATTCGAGCTGAGGTTCCCACAGTGCTTCTGGAAGGGTAGGTGGGAAGGTCTACTCACCCTTCCTTGTGTTCTCTCCCCTATCCCCAGCCCTCCGAAACCATGTTGGTTTGCTCTGGGGTTTTAGGGGGACAGACGTCAGACAGCTCAGTCTATGCCCACCATCCTGGCTGGGTTTATCTACTTCTGAGGTCTGGCAGCCAGCATGTCCCTGCGCTGGGCCCAGAAGGCAGAGGGGACAGTGTGCTATGCTGGGCCTTGGCCTGGGAGGGCCCTTGCAGACTGGGCCAGCAACCTCAGACTGGGCCAGGGAGGGATGAGGGTGTCACTTACAACTGAGTCTGGAAGACCACAACCAGGATGGAGAAGGCGACACCCACCGCTACGCCATAGGGCAGACTCAGGAAGAACGAGGAGAGGAAGCTGACCACCCAGACACACTGTGAAGAGAGAGGTGTCAGTATGGGGAGAAAAACTGCCCCTTTCAGGAAGTCTTCTGGGGTTCGCCAAGGCCCTAATTGGCCTGCTCAACTCAGATCTCTCCTTCCGTTCTTGCTTAATTTTTGTAACAGGTCACGTGCTGGTACTTTGGTTTGCTTGCCTGTTTCTCTTACATTGAGTGCAGCTCTTGATTTTTTTTTTTTTTCAGAGTGAGGGATTGAATGCAGGGCTTCACATACTAGACAAGTGCTCTACCATTGAGCTCCAACCCCCACCCCAGTCCTTGGCCTTGTTTTAAAAATAGAATTCTAGAATTCTAAAGCCGGGCGGTGGTGGCGCACGCCTTTAATCCCAGCACTCGGGAGGCAGAGCCAGGCGGATCTCTGTGAGTTCGAGGCCAGCCTGGGCTACCAAGTGAGCTCCAGGAAAGGCGCAAAGCTACACAGAGAAACCCTGTCTCGAAAAACCAAAAAAAAAAAAAAAAAAAGAATTCTAGCCTTCTATTTTCATAGATGGTAGCCGTGTGCACCGAGAGACGGCATGAGCAGAGTCAGGAGAGCATGCCCTGGGCTCAGATGCTCCCCGGGTTCAAAGCTGGGTTCTGGATTGTGTAGCTGTGTGGGCCAGTTTTCTGGTTTATAAAAGGGGAAAGAGGTCCACTCCACAAGAAGATTGAAAGGTCAGAGAGCCATCGTTCCCAGGCTTGCAGGGTGCTCCCGAGAAAATGTGAGCTTTCTTCCCGTCTGACAGTGACGCGCGCGTGCGTGCGTGCGTGCGTGCGTGCGTGCGTGCTTTGAATGGCTCTGTTGGAACGTCTATAGAGAGATGCAGAGAAGATGAAGTCACATGGCACCATATGGCTACAAGGGACTCTGGCCATAGCCAGGAGAGGGGTGCTATGTGGTAAAAGCAGATCCATGAGCTGGGAATTAGAACATTTCATTTCTTCCTATCTCTGTCACTCACCAGGAGTCCTCAGAGGGACCACACATTTCCTGACTTTAAAGATGTCCTTTTCTATGTGGTGTGGGTAAAGCCTCTGCCTGTGCGAGGCAGGACAGCCCAGAAGTCCAGCCAGACCCTGGCTCTTTCTTCCTCCATTGCCTCTGATGATTTATTTATGTAACCATGCTGAGCCTTGATTTTTGTCATCTCCAACACAGCGTTAGTAAGTCTCATCCCTGGGCTATGGTGGGTGAGCTTAGGTGGAAATAAGGCGTCATCAATACACTGGACCTTTTATCAGTACTGCCTGTGAAGGCGCAGCTCAGGTATGAAGTCACCGTCGCTGGATGTTTTATGTAGCATGGCGCATACCCATTGTGATTCATCTAATCTTTAGAGCCGATCTTTGATGCGGAACACAACCTCATCCCACACACAGATGGGGAAGTAGAGCCCTAGAGAAGTCTGGAAACTTGCTCAGGATCCTGATCTTCTGGTTTTATGTTCTAAGCTTTTTTACGGAGTGATCTCCTTTGATTATAGGGGAGGTGTGGGTCGTAAATTATAAAAACAATAGCTACTACGTTCTGTTGACCACAAATGCAACTCAGACCGCATGCAGTTCCCTAATCCCGTCTTCATCATGAGCCATCCTGAAGATGGACGTGCCCACTTCACAGGCACGGATGCCGAGGCTCTGAGAGGTAAAGGAGTTTGCTATTGGCTACAGAGCCAGAGAGTGGTTGAGGTAGGTTTGAACAGAGAATGGCTCTCTCCGAAGCCTGGCTTCTCAGCCCCTGGGAACTAGAGACAGGAGGGCCTTGCATCCCCAGGCCAGAGCTGCGGGGTTAGAGGAGGATGGGAGATTCTGTGGGTCGCTGGAGACTCCCCCACACTTACACAGTCCAGCTTGCTCTTCCTCCACAGGTAGTAGGGGTCACTGAGTTGCTTGAGGGAGTTCTTGAGGTTGACAGCTATCAGGGCTCCTAGCACAGCCTGGAGAAGCAGACCATTGCTTTGTGTCACTTGTGGTATCCCTTCATCTTGTCCTTCCCCTCCACACCTGCTCCTGGAGCCTGGCAGGACAGAGCTAGGGTTCCAGGGCTTTCCCTAAACTCCCCCTCAATCTTGGGATTGGAAAGCATAGCCTCTTGAGCCACAGAGTTCACTGTGGGCCCACCTTTACATTTACCCTCTCTCTGCATCCCTGAATGGCTCACACCTTACATGCGGGTGCCCTGGGCTCCGGATACCTTGTCCTCTACCCTTCAGCGAAGAGACCAAGCTCCCAGAAATCCAGAGGTTGAAACCAATCCCACACAGCCTCACGACACACGTCAGACTGTCAACCTGTCTCCCTCACCAGTATAACCGAGAGAAAGAAAATCTCTGTCGTTTACTTCATAGGGTACGTACACCAAGTGTGACAGTGGTGGCCCTTGGTGACCCATCAAGTGCCACTCCCACCCTTAGGGATTGTTCTTGCTGGAGGCTGTCATTGTTCCCTGCTCTCAGCTGGGCTCTTACCTTGGGGAGAGGGTACAGATAGGACCCCAGGACCAGCATAGTGATCATCACCACCAGAGACACACATAAGCTTGCCACCTGGTTGGAGAAAGAGCTGGGAGTGAGTGGGCATGGGCTTCTCGTGGCTCGACTATCTCACAGCTCATCCTTTGTGGAATGAAAACTAGCTGGCTAAGGAGGGCATGCCTGTGGCACCCGGAACTCTCTGGAACAATCGCTCCGTTTCCACTCCTCCCCGGGTCTCCTGTGACAAGGCTCACCTGAGACCTTCCTCCAGCCCCGTCCACAGCCAGCGTGACAGAGAGGGCACAACAAATGACGTGGATCTTGAAAAAGGAGCCGAAGAAGTTGCTGCAGCCCAGGGCGATCATCTCCTGTGGAGAGAGGGGGCAGGGTTGGTGCGGAGTAGGGGCCAGATGTCGGCAGTCATCTGTGTGTGGGGAGCCTGAGGCTCGGTTTGGAAGTGACCATGATGCTGTATGACCACACTCTGCCACTCAAAAGGTTAGCCTCAGGCTGGGGAGATGGCTCAGCAGGTAAACACTTGCTGCAAGGCCATGAGGGTCTGGGGTCAGATGCCCAGCACCTGGGCATCTGAAAAAAAAAGTGGATGTGTAATCCCAGTGCTGAGGAGGCAGAGGCAGGAGGATTCCTAGAGCTTACTGTCTAGGCAATATAGTCAGTCTCTAATGAGCTCTCTAATGTCAGTGAGAGATTCAGTCTCAAGGAAAAAAAAAAAGGTTGAGAAGTGATAGAGGAAGGCTTGGGATGTTAACCTCTGGCCTCCGTATGTAGCACACACATACATGTATATGAACTTGCATATATATGTGCATACATGTGAACATGTAAACTCTCCCCTAAGACTCCCCACAGAAAAAAAGAAAGGAAGGAAGGAAGGAAGGAAGGAAGGAAGGAAGGAAGGAAGGAAGGAAGGAAGGAAGGAAGGAAGGAAGAACAAAGAAAGTTGAAAACCAGAGGCCAGTCTCTCAGGTCTAGTCCCCTAACCCTTACTGTCTCACCTCATGGAGTCCCCAGACATCTTTCTCTCCCCTTTTGAGATACTGGGGTGTAACCCAGGGCCTCCTGTATGCCAGGCAAGGACTCTACCACTGAGTCACATGGCCACCCCCGCTAAGCTGTCATTAGTAGGCTTCTGTGGGCCCATGCCCTGGAGCCCTGCCAGGGGCAGCTGGAGATACCTGATTAGAATCCACGTCATAGCCATGCTTGTTGGCAAGGGTCCGGCCCATAGCCAGGTTGATGACGTAGCCCACAATTGCCAGGGAGAAGGCTGTGCCCACCATGTCCTTCCACTGCGAAACCACCGGCACCACTGGAGAGGGAAACCTGCCAAGGATCCAAAAGAGGAGGGCCCAGGGGTGTGAGAAGGAGGAGCAGGGCCCAGGGGTGTGAGAAGGAGGGGAGCTGAGACCCCACCATATGCCAGGGTCTTATTTGTATGGCTTGTCCCACATGATCTCACTCTCTGTAATCAGAAGGCAGGTCCTATCACTCTTGGTTTTTTGTTGTTGTTGTTGTTGTTTTTTGATTTTTCGAGACAGGGTTTCTCTGTGTAGCTTTGCACCTTTCCTGGAACTCACTTGGTAGCCCAGGCTGGCCTTGAACTCACAAAGATCCGCCTGGCTCTGCCTCCCGAGTGCTGGGATTAAAGGTGTGCACCACCACTGCCCGGCCTCACTATTGGTTTTTAAAGGAGGAAGCCAGGGCTTAAGAGAATTAACTTGTCCGGGTCAACAAGCCAGTAAATGGGAGGGCTTCACTTGTTCGGGCCCTGACTCCGACTCTCTGTTACACTGGTTTTTAGACCCACAGACCTCTAGTGCTATGAGGCCTGGCCTCCCTCCTCCCCCGTTCCAACTCTGTGGGGGTAAGCCTTGTCCCAGTCGTCCTGGATCCAATGTGGTGCCTGACATAGAAGAGATGCTTAAAGAATTTGGTTCATCTTAGTGTCTTCCTTTCTGCATGGGTAAAAGAGTATGTACTAGAGTGAAGCTGAAAGCCAGCAACGGGTGGGTCAGAGAGATTTGTTTAACTGTGTTCAGGACAGGAAACTTATGGGGGCTGGGAGGGTAGCAGTTGAGACTCATTTCCCATAAAGTGGCCAGTATTGACTGGTCATGTGGCTCTTCTGAGTCAGGGTCACAGAGTTCTCAATGAAATTTCACCTGGAGCCTCTCCTCTCCATCAGGGCCCCGGGGTCCGGTGGACAACGGGCTGGGGGTGGCCTCTGAGTGGTCTGGACTCACCCATGTTGGATCTCTCCCACGATCTGCATGTGGTATTTTTTTGGCATCTTGTAGCTCCCAGAGATGGCTGTTGCCACCACCACCTGCAAACCCCAAAGTGGAGAATGGATATCGGCTCTAGGTTGGGGCTTAGGTCCGGGGTCTTTCCTAAATGTTTTCTCTAGGATTCCCAGATCCCACTGTCTTGCTGCCTTAGGGTAGTGTGTGTATGAGGTAGCCTGAGAAGTCACATGATGGGCCATACAACATATTCACATATGACTTCCTGTCCCGCTGGCTGCCAGTGGAGTGGGTAGAGGGATGGACAGGGGCTCCCCTACTCACAACCCTCCTATCCTGACCCCCAGAACCCCATCTCCAGGCAGGCAGGATCCTCACCACGATCATCTCCGTAGGGATGGGGAAGTGGATCTTGTGCATGTACCGAGCATTGAGTTCCTTCACCAGCACCAGGAAGACAGCGCTGACCAGGGCGAAGACGAGCGAGGCGATGTTGGTGTGGGGGAGGTTTTTGCAGATGTCAATGAAGGTCTAAGGGAGAGAGCATCACAGGCTCCCATCCTTTCTTCCCATACTGCCCTGCCCAGGGGTGCCTGGCCCAGGGGAGACATGCCGCTGGAGACATACAAAGGCAGAACATAGCCCTGGTTGTGAATGCCATCCCATCTCCAGCTACCCTCTCCCAAAGGGCGCGTCAGGAGCGAATGCTAAGGTGTCACGCTCTCTCACATTATTCGCGTGTGTGTGTGTGTCTGTGTCTGTGTAAGTGTATGTATGCCACATGTGTGCAGGTGCCTGTGGAGGCCAGAGAGAGTGTCAGATCTACGAGAACTGGAGTTACAAGGACTTGGGATCCACCTGATGTGGGAGTCGGGAACTTTAAGATAATATATTTTCTTTTTCTTGTCAAGAGTTTAAACTAAAAAAAAAAAAAGGGGGGGGGGACTTCCCAGGGAAAGGAGTTGAGGCACTGGAATGGCGTCTCCTGTTCTCAGGGATGGACCACAGAGTGCATGAGGATCTGAGTTAGACTCCTTCCACACAAGGAGAACCCACTGGGATCCCCCCGGCCCGGTGGCCCAGCCAGCTATTAGGATGACCAGTTCACCACCTCCTGCGAATGTGAACTCTGCTCCCATCCTGTCCCTCCCCCAAAGGGTGTTTCTGGACTCACAAAAACGATGGAGCCTGGGCCTGTGTAGGAGGGGATGGTCAGACCAAAGATGTACTTGAGCACCGAGATCAGGATCTGCAGGCCAGCGGCTGTCATGAAGCCCCGGATGAAGGATTCCGAGAGGTAAATGGCGACAAAGCCAAACTGCATGAAGCCCAAGCCCATCTGGAAGGAAGGAAGGAAGGAAGGGGAGAGTCCACAGTGGGTCACCTGCTCCAAATGCCGGCTGGACACATAGCCTGGGAGCCTCGTGCAGCTCAGAGGCGGTGTGGACTCAGGGAAAAGAGTCCCCAGCAACCTTTCCCTGCCATTCACTGTGACCTGGGTGCCTGCCACCAAACCTTAGTTCCCTGAGTGCACACAGCCTCTCCGTCTCTTCACTACCCTGGCTTCGGTTCCCTTAAACAAACGTGGTCCTCCCCCGGGGCCACCTGGTGCCCAACTGAGCACTCAGAGTCACACCGCCTTTCCTCCCACAGGTAGTTAACCAGTACAAGCTGGGCATGCTCTTGGCAAAATGTTTCTTCCCCCCACCCACATCTCCTTCTCCATGGCCACCCCTCTGTCCCTCCTGCCTGGGCTCCTGCGGAATCCACCCGCCCACGGTCTTTCTGAGGCTAATAGGACCCAAGTTGCTGCCACAGGGACACAGTGAGTGCAGACTTCATCACTGGCCCCCTGCCTACCTTTCTGGCTTCCTCTGCCCCTCTGCCCCTGAGCCACACTAAACTCCTTGCTGTCTCCTTCCTAGCCAGGCTTCCCTGAGGCCTCGGGGCTCTCGAGTGCTGTTCCCTCTGCCCGGAGCAGCCCTTACACCTCTTCATTCGGTCACTGGGGAACTTCCACTGGTCCTTGCCTTCTCAGGTCAAATGTCCCCTCCTCTCTGAGGACTTTGCTGGGCTCCGATAGCCACTTGTTCATGGCTCTGCTGTGTCTCTGATCTCACCGTGGCACACACATTTATCTGTGGACAAGGCCACTTCCTCTGTCCCACTTGGAGCCACTTGTGAACTGGGCCTCTTTTTTTTTTTTTTTTTTTTTTTTGCCTTATCTTTATATCCTCAGGGCCTAGCTCAGTTCCTGGCAGAAAACATTAGGTGAGTGATGACCGAATGATAGGTACGCTCTGAAGTAGCCGGTGTCCTTGAATTCTGCCACACTGTGCCTCTTTCATCAACACCGGAGGAATCCTTTGCCCCCGTGGCTAGATGGTCAGCTTATGTGGTGTACCGGGGCCGGAGCCGGGGCCGGGGCTGGGGCAGAGGAGGCTGGAGGGCAGGAGGGATGCTGGCAGAGACCAGGGTTTCTCTAAGGGGCATCTGAACATCTCGGTGCAGATTTTAAGCTCAGGACAGGGGCACTGCTCCACACAAGGGGTGGAGACTCTAAACTATTTTTAAGGTCCCTTCAGTCCCTAGGGTGGGGAATGGCTTTAACACCACACGGGCGGTTTTGAGGTAGAGCTGAGGTAGCCTGCCACCTTCTGAGGTGGAGTCACTGGTAGGGCCGGGGGCTGTGCTCCTCACCTGGATGACAGCAGTCAGGCAGGCAAGTGTCGCTGACACATGCAGCCTCTCTGCCTCCATGGCTGCTGTGTCCATGTAGGTCTCATTGGTGACGTTGTTGAAGATCTGGAATTTCGACTCCGGGGCCAGCTGCAGACAGATGTTACCCACCAGGATGCTGATAACGGCAAAGGTACCTGTGGTGCCCCACCCAGCCAGCAAAAGTCAGAAGTTTGCAGCATGCCCATGGAAATGACCAAGGGGTCCAGCCCTGGAACACGCACCAGCCCCAGAGGGAGGGCTCCCTACACTGGCCTCTGCTAGCATATCCCCGGCAGTCACGTCTAAGCTGCCAAAGACACTTCCCTAGATCAGATACATCCTTGTTAACATCATCTCTTTGGACACGGACTCAGAAGTGCAGGCAGAGCCTGGACCAGAAACCAGCCCTGTGTCCGGGTTCTCTTCCTCCATCTCACTCCACGCTAGACAGCTCCAAATATCCCTGCCGCGGCCTGCTGAGAGCAGCCATGTCTCCAATCTGCTCATGGTCTGCGCAGCATATGGTATATCTTGTTCTGTCACACTTTGCTCTCCTTCCTGGGAGGAAGATACAATAGGCTGTGCTGACTGAGTCCACACGGGCGCCATGATTTCTCCAAGGTCAACGAGGACCTAGGACTCATGCAGCGACCATCCTTTCAGGTTGGATCAACATCAACTCCGGGAGAACAAAGGTGGACATGGAGCCTCCTTCACCATGCCCTGTGTCTTTGAGGTCCAAGTCATCGTGCCTAGCGGGGGGTCGTCGGGGAGGAGGGGTGGTGTGGGGGTGTGGGGGTGAAGAGACCTCACCTGGCACCATCTGGTGTATACCCCCGAGGAAGAAGTAGGTCAGGAGGGGGAAGAAGGAGGAATAGAGGCCATTGACTGCAGGAAGGTTGGCCAGCAATGCAAATGCCATGCCTGCAGGAGACAAGGAGAGGGAGGCTTAGCTCTGGAGAGCATCCTCTTCACAGGGGTCGGGGTCACAGAGTGGGAGGGTAGAGATGGAAAAGGGTAGGAGGGAGCGGCCAGCTAGGCCTGGCTGGGGGATGCTCTCACCTTGTGGCACCTGTATACAACCCCCACTGAGTCCACCCAGCAAGTCAGGGATGATGTAGTCTTTGACCTTGTACTTGGGGAGCCAGGAGAGCACAGGCAATAGCCCAAACACAATGGCTTTGAACTTGGTGGAGGAGCACCTGGAGGAGAAGAAGAGGACAGGATGCAGGGGGATGCTAGCGTCCCTGGGAGTTGGTTCGCTCAGTAGCCTGAGTGCACATCCCTTGCCGCGGGATGCTGCGGAGGCAGAGCTGTGCTTGAAACGGGAGAGCCCGGCAATACACCCCGGGCATCGCTGCAAGCCCTCCACGTGGGAATCGACGAGGCTGGGCTTCAAGCTGTCGGTTTTACGGTAGCTCAGCCTCCTTTCTCTTTGAACATCTCAAACAGGCAACCTCAGCTGTCCCCGTGAGGTGCCCTCTGCCAGCCTGCTGTCCTCTCCACCTGGTGAGTCTAGCATGGGTGTCCACCCCTGGCAAAGCAGCCGCGGGGAAAAGAGAGATGGGAGAGCCGTTCCTTGGCCGACAGGGTGAGGCGTATTGATCGCTACTGTTTGTGGAGCACCCTGAGATCCTTCCGTGGAAAGTCATGAGTAGCGGGAACAAGGGCTTATACACCTGGGGGTGACAGCCGGTGGATTGATGACTGGGGGTGGGGGTTGCTTTTCTTCTCCCAAGTGAGGCAAGTCAATGCTCCGGGTCCCTCTGGTGACTCACGCCGGGCCGAGTCTGATTAGGCTTCCTTTCCTGCCCCACACCAATCTCTACTCTTTACGGTTGCTCAACAATGGTTTCCCTGACACTGGGGCCCCTGGATGTCACCCAAGACTGAAACCAACACAGACAATGCTTTGTGTCCTGGAAAGTCTAGGCAGATTTTTTTCCCCCTTTCGATTAAATACTCTGCAGAACGGCATCTCCACCAGCCTGTCAGCCCAGCCTCTTCCGGGGCCTGGGGCCTGTGGTGCTCCTTGTGCCCAGGACCGTGGTGAATGGCTTCATGCATACCTAAAAGGCTTGGGCCGGGAGGCAACAGCCTCGCCGGAGCTCCAGCAGGTGTGCTTATGGCAGAGGAAACTGGACTCACCGGTAGGCAGCTGGCTCACATGCCCAGCCTTCTTGCATCTGTGCCATATGTCAGGCAAAGCAACCCGAAGTCTGCAAGAAGTGCTGGAAGAAGGAGGCGCCAGACAACTTGTACGGAAGCCTCAGAGGCCAGGATGGAAATGGAGGGAAGGATTAGCTCTCTAGACACTCACTCATTCACTCATTCATTCACTCAACCATTATTCCTTGGCACCGTGCCTACGTCCAAGCTTTTATGCCAGCGTCATGGGCACTGCTAGTTTTGTCTCTCTTTAGAGTCCTAATCATCCCTAACCTCCAGGAAAACATCGCTCCAGCACACAAACAACCTAAATGTAAACTCCTTGAACACCAAGACTGGCTGAGCCCATCCGTCTGGGGAGCATGGCTTCAGGGACGGGGCCTCAGACACTGGGCACACAACTCTTGAGTGTCGCTGGGCCGAGATGGAACCTCCCAGGGGAAGCAGGGTTGGTCTAGGACTTTTAGGAAAGACTCCAGTGGGTGATTCCCCGGCCTCAACCAGTTCCACCTGCGGCTCCACTTTAGCTACTGCCGGTGACCTCAATCCCGGTAACTGAATCAGCTGTTTCCCCAGGGGAGCGAGGGAGTATGAGGTCTGCCAGAAGTCTGGGGAGGGGGAGGGGGGGGAGCCTGTGGCCTCAGGTTCCTGAGGTAGGGATGTGGGCCACCGTGTACAGCCTCTTCCTGCGGGGCAAGGTTGACCAGCCCACCACCTGAGTTCAGGGACCTGAGAGTGGGAAGAACCCAAAGGCTGGTGAGGCCTCTTAGTACAGCCTAGGAATTTAGGGGCTCCTCTAGGATTTCTGTGAACCAGACAGAAGGACTATCCATGAGGGGATGAGGCATGGGGAGATGGGACCTCAGGAGCCTTTGGATGCACAAGGAACGGGGCATGGAGGAGGGGCTCAGGTGCTCCCTACCACTCCATGTCGGAGCTCATCCATCTAGAGGTCCTTTGAAGACCCAAGAGAGCCTCAAGAGGACTGAGACTTCAGGAGAAGCCTTGGAGGGGACAGAAACACCCTACAACCCTCAGAAATGGCTAGTGGTTCCTGTTCCTCCTCTCCATCCTCCCTAAGAGTCTCGGGGTCTATGAGCCTCCAGGCTCTTATATTCAGGTTTCAGAATCTCCCCTCCCCCAAGGGCTTCCCTAACCCCTTGGGTATTGGTCCAGGAGCCCTGACTGGAGCAGGATGGATTTTGGTGGGGAACAGAAGAAAGAGGAGTCTGGGCTCTGGGCCACGTTACCTGAAGGTGTTGCGAAGTTTCTCTCCCACCGGGTAGGTGCGGTCCTTTTTCTCGAACTCATCATCGAAGAGGGAGAGGGAGTATGCAGCTCTGTCTACCACGTAGCGGGGCCTGGGCTGGCTCATGGCTGGGGCATTGACACGCTTTAGGAGAAGCAGAGTATGGACAGGTGAGGGGCATCCCTTCCCAGTGCCAGCTAGGGCCTTCTCTCTCTGGTCCTCAGGGCAACAGAGATTTATTCCGGTCTTCCCGCCCCCATCCAGCAAGGTGCCTCCCTCCCTCCGTCAAGCCTTTCTGCCAGGCTCCCTTCTTTTGGTGGCCTTCCTTCCCAGGCACTGATGATACACACACTCGCCCTGGCTGTTTTGCTTGGCAGCCAGCACGTGGCTGGCACTCCACACCCGTGACATCACTGTCACTGCTGCCCGGACACCAGGCAGAGAGGAGGTGGGAGCGCAGGCCTGGTTTCCACGGCACGCATCCTGCTCCCCTCGGGCTGGGATGGCCCCACGGACTGCCTCCCGCCCCAGGCCTCTGTTTCCCTGGCAGAAGGGCTCATGTCATCCAGCCAGTTGATTTTGGAACAATTGGGAAAACAGCCTGCCTAGAGGCAGGGGGATAGCCAACGTGACCTCAGGAGGACCTTTGTTGGATAAGCCGCGCCTGCCTGCCTACGACTTCACCAACAGGTTTCCCCGGGAAGGACAATGGTGTGCTTGGGGAAGTCTGGATGGCTGGCTTCAGCCCTCTCCCACAGCTTCCTGTGCCTAGCGCTTCCTCCACCCTTGTGTATTGGTGTCTCTCTCCTCCTCACGCTTTGCGCAACCTCAGCGATGTTCCAGGAGCTGAGCCGGGCAGAGCTTGGTGCCAGGGCCCTTGGGGCCCGAAGGAGTTCCCTGTGAGAACCTTTCCTCCGCCCTCCTCTAACTCTGACCCCTTCCCCTGTCCCTCAAGCCCAGCTGGCAAAAGCTATGTAGAGGCGGTCTGAGGGAAGACTTACATCTGAGAGGTCCTGGGGAATCTGGGCTGACTGGAACCACACAAGGTTTGAGATAGGGTTGAACATGTGCAACCACAGAGGGACCCACCCCACCAGACTTTCTAGGTGAAGGCCTCAGGGAGTGGTTAGCATTGCCTTTTTGGAAGAGAACAAACATTGGGAACAACTGAACATCCAGGGACCCCGAGACTGGTCCTGTCTTTGTTGGAAAGAAGGAAAGGGTCATATTGCTCCCTCTGATCCTCCAACCCTCGTCAGCAGTGTGAGCTTGGCTGCCCACTGCACAGGGGTGCAAGCATGATGGCCGAGAAGGAAATAAGCAAAATGAAAAGGCCGGCCACGCGAGGGTCTCGGTTAAGGAAGTGCTTGAGTTGGTTGGTGTATCCATTCCTTTGCTCTGGGGGCTGAGGCAGCTAAGGGCTGGACTGTTAGTGAAACCCCGGGATGATACCCACCAGAGGGTAAAAGTGGGTGGGTGAACCTACCTGCAGAGCCCCTGCCCAGCTACTCGCTTGGTATTTAGTACCTAACAAACGCCATCTCTCGTTGAGAGAATCCACCAGTGGGGTTTTGGAGGAGACACTGGCAGAAGTGAGTAAGGGCCATGGTATGTGAGACATGTAGTGGGAGAAACTCAGAGTGGCCTCAAGAAAACAGCCCAAGTTTTAGAGGCAGAATGACCTGGGTTCCAAGATGCGGTTTCTTCATCTGTAAGTGGGGATAATAACAGTCCTGGGCAGTTGCTGTGTGGATTAAGGGAGCTTGTGTGTGACTGACGCGCCGGTTTCCTAGGTTCCCAGTGAATGGTAAGGACACTGATTATTAAGATGGGAGGAGGCTGTCTTCCTTAATGAGAGATGATTCTCCATCCACCAGTCTTCACGCTTCACGGAGCAGCATGGCTTCACTCCCCCCCCCCCCCGCCCCCCACCCCCCGGAGTCTGCCAGGGTCTGTCTTTCCAGCTGGTTTGCTTGACAGGCTGTTTGGGAGCCATGAGTGCCAAGCACGACTCCTCAGAGGAACCCCGAGTGCCTGGCCCGGCTTTAGGGATGCTTACAGTTTGGGGCGTATGTCTCAGGCTCCTGAACAGACCAAAAGAACTGGCCAAATGTTTCAAGGTAAGCTGACTGACGAAAAAGCAGAGCCATTAAGAAGAGGGACGAGAGGGAGGGAGTCTGGCTTCTGTGCTAGGATGGGGGTGGGCTGAAGGATTGCCCTAGGCTATTTGTTTTTAAAGGCTATATGTTCTGCTAGCACTTTCGTGTGTGTGTGTGTGGGGGGGGCATCCCATGGTATTATTTCAGATCCCCCCAGCAGCTCTTCCATTTCCTCAGGGGTCTCTCTCTCTCCCTCCACCCAGTCACTCCTTTCCTGCCTCTTGTCCCCATCCCCCAGCCAATCCTAAGGCCAGTCCATTCCTCCTCCGTTTCTCCTTTTTCCTCCTGGGCCGGGCCTTCGCCCTGCCCCCACCCTCCAGGTCTGGCTCCGCTCAAGCACCATTCTTCACTGAATTTTTGGCCACCACCCTCTACTCTCCCACTGGGCACCTATGTCCGGCTGGAAAGTCCAGTAGTCATTTCCAGGAGGACCAAGCCCAGGCTCCCTTTTCAGGCCTGGTGTTACGGCGATCCAGTCGACTGGTCCCTCTGCCCTGTGCAGGCTGGTTGTTCGCCCCAAACAGGCTTGGGTCTCTCTCCACAGTGCCTCCTCACCCTGGGTGCTCTGACTCATTGCTGTCTTTCCAGCCCTGCCTGTCCTCAGGACCTGCTCGAATTCCTCTCCCCACGCCCCCATCCGGAAGCCTTTCCCACCCCCCTGGCCGGTGGCGACTGCTCTTTCCCCTCAGTTCTCCTTCCTGGCTAGTCTGGTCCGGGGACTGTGGTGGGCTTCAGCCGTCCCTGGCTGCCTGTCCAGAAAAGGGAGTGGAGGAAAGGGCAGGGGTGGGAAGCCTTCAGAGAGGAATGGGGGTGTGACTCAGCATGGTCCCTGCCCCTCTGGGCAAGGCTTCCCTGCAGCCTCCACTTTGGGAGTCCCCAGTGACACAGGCTAGCAGAAGGAAAAGTCCCTTTGCTCTTGGTAACAGTCTGTTCCTTTCCTTTACTCTTCCTCATCTATTCCAGGAGCAGGGTGCTGCAGGGGACCAGGGCTTCTCACAAGCCTGTTTATGAAAAGGAGAAGCCAGCAGCTGGCTGAAGTCAGGACGTTTTTGTCTAGACGAGGATTTGAGACTGTGGCTGGTCCAACTCTCTTATTTTGTGTTTGAGGGAAACTGAGTCACGGAGAACGGCAGATGTGTGTGAACTGGGCCTCGACAACTTCTCAAAGGCTTCTGGTGGAAGGGGGCTCCAGGACCCCAAGGGACAACCCTGACCCGTGCTCTTGCATGACCTGAGATCAGACAGGTCGTCTGGGCTCTGTTTTACCTCCCGAGGACTCTGCCTGGGTTTTGCCTCCTATCCTGGCCTCAGCTTGTCTAGCAGGATGACGGAGATGCGGGTGTAGGCTCAGGGACACCCCTGGCTCCTGTTTTCCAGAAGGGAAGGCTGAGGTGGGGTGGGCACAGCAGGGATGGACCCTTCGTCCCCACTCAGTCCTTCGGACCCCGGTGCTGTGGAGTAAAGCGGAGTGTGAGGAGGAATAAGGGGTGAGCCATCACCGTGCAGATGACCTCAGTTTATGGTAGATGGGCCTTAGGGGTTCTCAGAGAGTTAAGAGAGCCTTAAGATGTTGGATTGGGGGTGGGGGGGTAAAAGAACAAGAAGGCTGAAGAGATGGTTTCGGGGATTAAGAGCACTTGTTGTTCTTGCAGAAGACCGGGGTTCAATTCCCAGCACCCACATGGTGGCTCACAACCCCTAACTCCAGTTCCAGGGAATCTGACAGCCTCCTCTGCCCCTGCGGGCACCAGGCACACACGTGCTATACATGCACACATACAGGCAAAAATTCAAATCCCCCAAACAACAAAAAAGAGCAAGACAGTGAGAGAGGTATCAGGAACGAGATGATTTGATCCCTAGTTAAACACAGTCGGGGGGGGGGGGGGGCAAGTGTCGTTCTGTGGCCACAGCGGTGTATCGAGCCCCACCCCATCACACAGTGTGGACGTCCTCTGCTTCAACAGATTGCAGGTGCCATGTGACAGTCCTGAGGGACAGAGAGGTGAATCTCACTGTGGAGGAGGGGGGAGGGTATCCTGAAGAGGGGGGGGGGCGGGGGGAGGGAGGGGAAGGGAAGAGAAGAGAAGAGAGGACATGTGGCCACATAAGCAATTCCTAAATCTGGGGCCAGGGAAGGAATAAGGTCAGCCTGAGGCTGGAGCAATCTGGAGACCTTGTACAGCTGAGGACCTGGAGAAAGGGAGAAACGGACGCTGTGAGGACCCCCTCCAGTGAGCTCGGACAAAAGAAAGCCCACCGGATCTCCTCCCTAGCTTGTGTCCACCTAGGTCTGTGGATCCCCTTAGGATGCTTGGATGGGGGTAGGGGTGGGGTGGGAGGGGTGGGGTGCTCAGCACGATGCCCAAGGCAATGAATGGCAGGGTGCCTGGCCCTGGGAAGCGTAGTCAGTTCTGGCCATTGGCATTATTACCGTCACTATGGGAGATTCCCTCTCTAGCTCTGCCATCTCAGACAGCTCACTCGGCCTTCCTCTTCCTCCCTGATCCTAAGCTTCAGTCGCAGGCCCTCATACTCCCCATGGTTTTTGGACTAATGGAGGGAGACACAAGTCTTTTCTGTAGGAGGAGGGACACCAGAAAGCAGAGGGCCTGCCATGCATTCCTGTCACGTCTGGAGGTGACCCTGTCACTGCAGCCCAGAATGACTTCCTCCCTAAGCCCTGGCTGGGGGGAGGGTGCCTCAGGGGAGTTGTCCCTTGACACACCTGTGCCAGACACTGGAGCAGGCCTAGCCTGGCAGGTCACGGGTGTCCTTATCACAGGTTCTGGGGGAGTGGAAAGGTCCCCTTGAGGTCCCCTTGCCATCCTCATCTAGGGTAGGTATCCCAAGAAAGGGCAGTCTCTCTCCGGCTCTAAGTTGGTTGACAGGACAGAAGGCTGGGGCCCTAGCTGCAGACCATGTCCCCGCCAGGAGGAGGGAGGCAAGCCTGTCCCCCCTAAGGCCTTTTGAAATACTCTTTCTATTGTCGTTGTGTTTCTTGAGCAAATCTGCAGTCCCCTTCTAGCCCCAGGCGATGTCCTCCTTTGTGATATGAGGCAAATGTTGACTCTCTGGCTGTTCTGGGACTGTCTCCTGTGAAGGGGACTCATTGCTGTGGCACTTCAGTCCCCATCCCTCATCTCCAAGCCTGCTTGCCTGTCTGCTCTCCCTGTCAAGGGAGGGGTGAACTGGGACTAGGTCCCAGCGGAGGGACTAAGTGAGAAGCTGAACAATGAGACCTGCCCCAGGTCACGAGGTCCCTGTAAGGACACGTGGGTTAGAGCCTTAGAAACCCCTAAAGAGACCAGCAAATCCAAGACTCTAGGCCAGAATTCCAGGTGGCCTTGAGGGAAGGAAGGCTGACTCCCCTGGAGGACTGTATCTTTCAAGTCATGACCACATCACCCTCCCTTTAGCCCACGTCCAGCCGGTCCCCATCCCTTTAATGAGCCTCCTCAGGTTATTCTGTATGATTGGACACACTTTCACTAAGTGTAGATTTGATGTCACTCTGTTGGAAGCCCTTGAGTGCTGAGAGATAAGGGGCAGCTTTGCTTCAGGATTCTGTACAGTGAGCCCCGAGTCAGGACTGACCCCGGCATGGACCGGAAAGGCTGATAGAGTAGCGGATCTAGTTCTGGTATGGGCTGGTCTTCATGCTGCCCAAGCAGGCTCTGGCCAGGTTCTGAGAGAGAGAGAGAGAGAGAGAGAGAGAGAGAGAGAGAGAGA